TAAAATTCTTTATTAACACCTCTGATTCAAATATATATTTAATTGATAACGCTTCCTTAATCTTAACAACTGTGAAAAGAGAAACGCCTTGATAACGGTAAGCTCGTGATAGCTTTATTGGTGCAACTCTAAAAGAAAACAATGCAACGACCACAACGACGATCGTATAGATTGGCACAATGAATATATATTTGTTTGATTGCTTTATTAGAGCTTTGTGTAATATTTTGCGCCATTGCGTGGTGCAAAGATCTCGAGACACAAATAATTTTGCAAAACGTTTTACATCATTCGAAGCCTTTCGATGAGGAAACTCTAGGAAAATTCTATCAAAATTTGTAAATTTTATTTTCATATTTATTCCGCATGTTTTTTTTTTATTGAAGACTGCCAAGATAAAAAGAGTTACGTTGTGCTTGCATAAAGAACGTATAGGAAAAAAAAATTCGATATTGACTACTTGACACGTGAAGTAAATTCATCGCGTGACAATTGACGTATGATAATCTCAGGTTGATTAATTTTTATTATTTTAAAACCTGTTTTTTTTTATAGGTCATAGTATCACGTGCGGAAACAGCGATAGACGACACGTATGATCGACTGACAGACGTGGTTTTCCCCCCTTAAGATTCAACCCTCAATAAGCACTCGAGCTTCACCGAGAAGAGGAAAGAAAAAAAAAGAAAAAGAGAAATAGTTATAAGCCAAAGCACACGATTACAAGCGGCAGATCTGAGATCAGTTGGATTCGTCCTACAATACGTCCGCCAGGCGGTCGAACGTTTCTAGAAGCTCCCGACTCCCGAGGCGTTGACGGGACACGTCGATCACAGAAACTTTAGACAGCTACATGCGGACGTCGGGCCGCGATGTACATACGTACAAGTAAAGTACGTGGTGGCGCGTACGCGTTTTCTCCTTCTCAGGTAAAAATCAATAACACGGCTGCGCGACGTACATGTTACATACGTGGGGTGCACGTACGTATACACGGTGATCCGCGGAAACCCGCCGGAGCCGTGCGACGACGTTTACTATACCGTGTGACAGCTCGTGTCGCTCGTGTGGATCGCCGGTCCCGGTGTCGGGCGACAGGCGACCAGGACCAGGCGAGAGTCCCCAGGGAGTCGGTCCCGGCGCGGGATCTACGATACGGCTTAGAGAAGAGAATTATTAAACGCACACACGCTCTCGATGCACGCACTCGGCACTCGGCACTCGGCAGTCGGCACACACGGCACGTCCTCCGCGCGAGCGAAAACGCGAGAACGCACTGAGTCAAGTATGTTGGTGTACCGCGGTCCACTTTCGTGTCGCACGCGCGTCTCTCCCGAGCGCTCGCCACCGCCGCTGTTCGCGGACGGAAGGTCGATCGACCCGACCCGACCCGACGGGACCGGGGACGAGCGAGACGTATCGAGCCGGGCCGCGAAGGAGGACTCGGCCGAGTCGGTCCCGGCAACTCCGGCAGTTGCGAGTTGAGACTTGCGACAAGTAGCGCCGCGCCGAGGGATGCGTGTGCGTGATGCGTATATGGGTCGTATGGGTATGGGTACTCCAAAAGCTATCGGGCTGATCGTGACACTGTTCTGAATCGAATCCGAATTCCTTATTGATTTCAAGATGGTTTTCTTCGGTAGCCCGCGATAAGCCCGGATAACTCCAGATACGAGTACGATATCTGGACGTGTATCAGTAGTTTTATTTCGAAATATAAGGAAAAACGATGAGAAGAGACTCTGATTAAATGCATGTGTAAAAGATACAAAACACTTAGGATAGGAATACTTTTTACATCTTAGAGATGAAAAAATTAATTTTTAATACATTAATACACATATATCTTTTGTACTGTAGGTACTTTAAATGAAAAAGACAATGCGAGATGAGATGTAAGAGAAAAGAGTAACAATGACAGGAGCTTATAACGGAGTGGTCTCTGGTGGTCTCTGCTTTTTCACGGATCCTCCTTCTTTGCAGTGCGGATATCGTTGACCGTAGCGAGAGTTCTGTCTTCGGTCTGTCTCTGTCATGTAAAATCGTGCCGCGAGACATAACCTGCAATGCCGAGGGGATTTAACCGACCGGCGGAGAGCGGCGCGTCGCCGCCCGAGAAGACGATCTGTCCGTCGCCGGAAGAGCTGAGCGTGATAAACAACAATGTCAGGTGCGAGCAGTGCGGGCTCGTCTTCAGGAACGAGCCGCGCTGCCGGTTGCACGACCTCAAGGTGCACCAGCACAAAAAGTTGGATAAAATTGCCAAGGAAAATGCGCGATATCACTGCCCGGTGGAGTCGTGCGTCTACGCGGTCACGTCCCACAGATACTTCAGCACCATGAAATACCTCAAGCAGGTGTGTATACCTCAAATGTTTCGTATGATTAGTAGAGCTTAGCGTTGAGAAAGATTGTCAATTTCAAGGATATTTAATACCGCTACATTCTTTCAGCATTATTTGAAAGTACACGCGGAAAAAAATTATGCGTGCGATCGTTGCGGCAAAAGCTTCTCCACCGAATCCGCTAAGAAAGGGCATGCAAGAGTCTGTGGCGTAGAGTTCGCGTGTTCCTGCTCAAAGACTTACATCACGTACGAAGCGTTGCTCACGCACGCAAAACGATCTCTGCACGCTATAACGGAGAAATATAAAAACTCAAGGTTTATTTATTCGTCGTATTACTACATCTTTAGTCGCGCGTATCGTGATATTAATTGGACGTGAATGGGAGATTCACTGATATTTGTAATTTCTTTGTAGACACACCACGTCTAAGACAGTGCGACGCGTTTTACCAAGAGGACGTATGAGCAAACCCATCACGATACTGCCCACGCCGGATAAATCTGGAAAAAACAGCGAGGATACCGATGTCGCGACAAAAAGTACATCCGATGTCGGAGTACAGACGGACGACTATAAAAGAAGCAGCAAGAAGATGTCGAATCCATCGAACGTCAACAATAACAATCTGCACAATGCGAAACGTCGAATATCTAAGCAAACGCAGACCAATAATCTGTCCAAGGAAAAAACCTCCGGGAAATCGATAGAAACGCAAACACCACAAGCGAACTCGAAAGACTCGTCCAAGATGCATAAACGCGGTGGAAGGTGTCGCGCATTATCAAAACAATCGGAACAGACGTTGCTCAAGGAGGAACTCAATCTCGGCGACACGTTCGCGTCGGGCACGTTATTCCCGGCTAGTCCGCTGCCACTTCGCCACGATGTGGGCTTGCAGGATTTCTGGGAGAAGAATACTTCAAGCACGCAAACGATACCCGAGAAGGATATGTTCGAGGCATTCAACGATAACGTGACTCAGACGGAATTCGAGACATTTTACAGCCACAGTCATAATCCTTTGATACAGGGCGTACCGAAAAGCACAGTGGCTTTAATGACGTTGCCTTATGTCGAAGACACGTCGGCGGTTGAAGGATATTCTTTCGCTTCAACCGACGGGATGTCTCAAGCTGATCCTATGCTAACCGCCAAGACATTTGACGACAGATTTAGCAGCATAGAAACGCAAACCGAGCAAGCCTTTTCCCCATCGTACTTTTATTCCGAATCTCTGTCGAGATCGTTTGCCCTGAGTTCAAACATCGAGACGCAAACCACGGACAATCTGGACAACATGGAGCAACTGCTGTACAGCAATACGTACACTCAGACATGCGACAAAATGCTGTCCTCCGATTTAGGGTTGTCCGACATACAGACTCAAACTGCTTGGTCGCACGACGACACTACCGTTTCTACCGAGACTCAAACAAAGTCCCTGATTTGTGAGACTGATTGCAACATTCCCACGGGAGCTTGCAGATCCTGGTTAAATACACAAACGAGTCACACCGAAACGCAGACTGATCTATTCAATATTTTCGAGGGATTTGGATAAGTTATGTTCACACACCGTGACTCATCGTTCACTGCTTAAGTTCCTCATGTTTTTGTCAGTTCGGTTTTCATACAATTTTTATCTGTTCTTTCTTCCCTAACGTATATTATAGATACAAAGTTGTTCTCGAATATTCTTGACGATTCATTTATTGCATTTTTTGCAATCTTTATTTTTAAGTCTATTTTTATTCGTCATACAATATATTAAAAAAATATGAATTTCAACGTCGTCAAATGCGATTTGTCGTTGAGAGAAAAGTACCTGATTCTCGGAATTTGTTATTTTTATATTATTTATCTTCCGAGTTTTTTATTTGAAACTTATTTTTATATCAAGTTTCAAATAAAAAAAGTTGGTAAAAACCGAGCACCATGAGTATTATCCATCAGTAGCTGCACCCTTGTATATGTATGGCTATGTGTATGTATGTATGTGTATAGAAGCGTATGTATTTGATTTCTTTCAATATACCAAAGTATTACGCACATCTCGCATACATTAGAGTATATCTCCGTATGTATCTATGTATGACGTATGACGATTCAAAAATAAATATTGTAACGGCAATATGTATATAAATATGTATTGTGAGCTGAACTTATCGGTAAATTTACGGACTGGAATCGGACTAAATTTACATCTGTTTTGTATCTCTATTTAAAGCCTCATGTGTATGTACATTGTACATACATGTCATATACGCGGTGTATATATAAGAGAGTTTCGATATCTCTCTTGTCAAAAATATATTCTAGCTTTGCATCACGTGCTACGCCGCGTGATGCATGCAGGCGAACACATTTAATGTCTGTCAGCTTTGCGATAATATCACGTGAGATTCCGATTACTTTTCAAATCTACATTTCTCATTCGTGTACAATATACAACTAAGAAAATATATTCCTTTAAATCGAGGAAAGTCACGATAACGTCGGAAATGTATCTGCATCTTTGCGTCGTCATAGATGTGACTGAATAAATTTTACAACGTGTCACAAATACAAAAATATAACGGGTCTTTCACAAATAATGTATATTTATATTTATACGTTCGAATCAAAACGATCTTGCGTTAGAATGTTTATCTGGGCAGCAGGAGGAAATGGGAATTAAAAATTCTGCAACGAATGATAACGATTGGATAATGAATTCTCATTGCGTTCAATGTATCAACGCATTGCGCAGCAATGCATTAACGTGTTAAATCGATCAATGCATGGATCAACTTGTCATCAGTGGATGCGCAGTGAAATTACGGGGTGATGGGATACATGGTGAAGTGATAAAAAGGGAAATAGTGTGAAAATACGAATATATATAATATATATAAAGAGAGAGAGAAAGAGAGAAAATTCTATTATACTGCGGGACCGGCGGCATTGTCCTCATCGGAATCAGGTAAAAAGTCTTTGGTCCAGTCTTCTATCCTGTCCACGTTTTCGAGGGTCGACGCGAGTACTCTCAGATTGTCCACGCCGGACATTAATTGTCTGCAAGAGTATAAATCGAAATGTCGATCAGATTTCAAAAAAAAATCGGATTATGCACCCTTGTTAATGATACACACAGAATTCCGTTTTAAATGATAAATTATTTCGAGTAGATTTGATAGTCAAATAACTTTTAAGAATACCTGAGAGACACTTCAGCCGACGATGCAGCCGCGAATAAATCATGCGCGAGCCTTCTGACCGTGCGATTCATGTTGACGGCACCAGCCGTCGTTTCACTTTGCCCAGCTGCTGAGATACCGGCTCGAAGTTGACTGTTCTCCATTCGTAGCAGAGATATCTCTGTCTAAATTAACAGATTCACCGGCCACACAATACGTTAGTTTTTTTTTTTTATTTTGTTTCATTACACGTGGTTGGGCACAAAGAGTACTGACCGTTAAAACCTTAATTTCTTTCTTCAATGATGTGACAGTGCTTTCGGCATTAACTGCTCGCTTCTACGAAATACAAATAGCATGCTGTCATCGTTTCCCAATGACACATAATATAATCAATATGCAGGACGTGCACGTTACAATTCGGAATCTTTATTTATTCTAATCTCTTATCTTTGTACTTACTGTACTTCGTTTTAAGTTATCCTCGACCTGCTCCATCGCTTTTTCCAAGTGCACAGCTTCTTCGTGTTCGACTTCCTTTTTAGACAACACATCGGCCTCCAACGAACGAATTCTGCAATTAACGCATCAATGGTATAAAATAAAATTTGTTCCAGCAAGGTACACGTACCTTTCCATTTTTTCACCAAGTTGTCTTCGAGATGCCTCCAATTGCTGACGTAATATTTCGTTCTCGAGCAAAAGCTGCAACATAGTCTCAAATTCAATCTTCTCTGTACCATCTTATCTGATTATATTTCTGCATTATGTAACAGTCTCACCCTTCTCTCCGTGGATTCTGCCATGCTCGCGGTAGGTTCCGAATCTGTAGATCTATTATGTATAGGACCGTCGCTTAAAAAGTCTGGCAGAGATTTATGGACGCTCGCCTCACCTCCTGACGGGAGATCGTCTCGTGAGGTTGCATTTATATTGGGATTAGAGTCGTGAAAGGGTAACGGTAAATCGAATGGAAATCCTGTAAAAGAAAATGCCTCTTATTTTTCCAAATTTTGCAGGAACATAACTGGTATATTGTTCGAAACATGAAATGCACGCGTAATACCTCTGTGCTCAGGACGGGGAAGGGAAGGCGCGGTTTCGTTGAGTCTATCCTCGAACATAGGCAGATCCAAGTGATTCGAATGCATCGCGTTCGACGCGGAATGATCTCTGTGCGGCAAGCCTTTGTGCAGCGTGTCGGTGAGATCAAACGATCGTAGATCGTCGCACAGGACGTCGGAGTCGTTCTTCATCGTCTCGCCCCGCAATCGGGACTGCTGCCTTTGTTCCATGCTGTTCAGCGCGAAATCCGGCAGATTATCCACGTCGGGCAGTACCGGCTGACTGTTCTCGTGATTCAAGTAACACTGCTCGATGACCAGGTGATCCTGCACAAAGTCCGGCAGCTCCGTCGGGTTTCGGCCGGAGTAAACGCCACCGCCGCCGCCGCCGCCAACGTTGTCCTTGTCGAGGACGCTGCCGGGGCTCGACGTGGTGGACGAGTAGACCTTGGGCCTTGCCCCGGTGTTGTGATAGTTGGTCTGCTGCGTGCCATTCTTCAGGAAGGCCTTAAAACTGAAGGGGTTGCTGTCGCGACGCGACGACGAGTCTTGACCTGCGAAAAACATTTTCAGCTTCCAGCCAGCTTCCAGTTTCAACGAGAAAAAAAAAGGAAGAAACAATTCACGGTCAAAGCGGGCGCGCGCGCGTATACAACGACAGTGAACCCTAACCTGTCGACTGTTCGACGGGATCGACGCGACTCCTGCCGAAGCGGTCAGACGTCGGCGACGGGTTGTTCCTGGACTGAGTGTCCCGGCAACGCTCGGGGGTCATTTTCTCCTCGTCGGACGGCGAGGACGGCGGAAAGACGGCCTCGTTCCCCGACGGCGACGGAAGGTTCTTGGCGTTCTTGCACGCCGCCACGGGCCGCCAGGGGGTGGCGAGGCCGAAGACGAAGGTGGTGACCGTGGCCGTCTCCTCCTTCTCCTCTTGCTCCTCCTCGTCAGACGATGAGCACCACATGTAGCGTTTCGGCAACGACGACCGACGGCATGAATCGTCGGTCTTCCTACCGCGGCTCGCCATAATTTCGCGTCGACGCTGCTACGACCGAGTCATTCGCGACGCTACCAGCTAACGACCTCGCCGAGAGGGGTACGCGTGTACGCGTACTCGCCTGACCTAGCTGACGTTCCGTCACTGTCCGTCTGGCCCGTGGCCGCTCCGCTGATGCCTGCTGATCGCATCAAGTTAGGGTTAGGTTGGCTCGATCAGCAGCAGCAGCACTCTTGTTGACTCCTCAGCCCACCTCAGCCCCTCAGCCCCCGTTCATCTCCACCTGTACTCCGTCACACTTTCTACGCTCGAAACGGTATGGGGATGTATCTGAAATAAAAAGAAGAGAAAAGATGCGAAGCGTAGAAAAATGTAATTGGAGCTCCTCTCATCTCGCTCCTTTTTGCGCGATCTTTTCTTTTCGTCACTAATTATACGCTGCTTTTTTTCAGACGCCGGAGTGCCGCGTGCCGATGCATCTCCCTCTCTCTCCCTCTCTCTCCCTCTTTGAACGATTGACATTTCATTTAAAATTGGCCGTGAGACGTAGCATTATTGATATTCTACGTTATTGATAGCCTGTCGATATTTACGCAGAGTCGCAACTTTGGAATTCGTATCGCTTGCTTGGATCGTTGTCGATTTGATAGCCTTGTAGAAAGATGGTGAATATAAATCTTTAATTTTAATCTGTTGTGAATCCTTATTCACGTGGATAATAAATAATAGATGTTATTAATAAGTGCCTAAAAAAAATTTAGAGAATACAAAATGATTCGGTCTTTGTTACAGTCTGATTATTGCATTTGCTGTAAGCAGTTGTCCGATGATACGTGCAGAAATGTATTTGACGAAAAATTGTTGATTGATTCACAAGAAAAAGACATACATGAGGAATCCGACGGACATGTGACACTGAGGAATGCTATCGAAGTAATTACTGGCTATACAGTGAGTATCGTATAATAATTAATATGCAATTAATCTGCACCACATATCATCTGTATCTTAGAGATAAAGGATCGTCTCTCCAGTTTTTGTCAAAATGGAGTTAATACATTTTTCGATATAACAGGAGCTTAAATTGCATAATGGTAAAGCGTCTTATATTCATTATTACTAGTGCCTAAGATACAATGTTTAGAAAAAGTTGGATTGAAAATTTTTATAGCGTCTAATTTTTAAATCAGATACAACACTATCTAAACATGTCAGTTAAATTACTTTATTAAAAAATCAATAAATCAAGTTGCTACTTTTATTTTATATCTAAAAAATATATCATTTTCCTATTTAAAACTTGAAACCTTGTTTTTTCTGAATTCATAATAATGGAGATACGATTCTTTACCTTTCAGGTACAGATGTGTTTGTACGACAATTTAATACAGAGTATTACATTCCCCTTTTTAGATATCAGAGATAGGTAATACAATTTTGTGCGAAACGTGTTTTCATAAAGTGGAATCTTATATAAAATTTCGTTCCCAACTTGTTGCTTCGTTTGGAAGATTAAATAACACCCAAATAGTGGATCTCGATTCGTTAAGTTCCGAAAATGCAGAGATTACGAACACTTGGCTACTCTCTAAAGCATCTAACACAGGTTTGTTTGTAATAAGTGATTAAAATATAAATATTGTATAGTTACTGATGGTGTGTACGGTACTGATGGAAATAAAATTTCAGGATCAGATGTGTCCAAGGAGATAATGAACGTTAACGAAAACAATGTTTCCTACGTTTCAAACTACAGCAATCTATCGAGTAGTGAGGCTGAGAATGATTCTTCGTGTACCAATCTACAACTAAATTTCCATCGTTATGTTGATAATGCCTCTGATTACGGCAGTGATATTGATGATAATTTGAATGTTGATACATCTCGTTCGAGGATTCAGAAGAGCGATATAGAATCAGACGTGAATGTATGTTCCGGCGAAGACGATCAAGTATTAGAGTTATCTGTTGAATATAAACATAATGAAACTGTCAATGTCAGTTCGACAGAATCAGAGGAAGATTACGATTATGGACCGACTTTTAAAAAAATTAAGTTTTCAAGTCGACGTTCATCTCCACTAATATTGTCTTAGGTATAATAATTTATGAAGATGTACACTCGCGGTCTCTTTAATGCCTGGACACCGAAACGTGGACGCGTTTCGGAACACATTCGAAAGCGTGCACGTTTCTAACTGTTTCGAATTACTTGAGTAATGACATATAACGTCGTTATTTTTATATCACTACGTATCACTATTTTATTCAGAGTGCTGTATTTATTTTTTGTATTTTGTAATATTCCGTATTAAAATACTAACTTTGTATGTTCTCCTCCCAGCCAAGTTTTGTATATAGATTCTACACCACTTTACTTTCTTCGAGTTTGCTCAGCGGAAGTTTACGATACTTTCTATCGACACATGTTTAGTAAGTGTGAGATACCTAAAAATTAATCGGCAATCAAAATATATGTAAAAAATATATATCGAACAATGTATCTGCTATTTTGTGCAATTATTCATAATCTTATTTTAAACCACGAATATAAATAAAATATTTAAAAGTTATGCAATATATTTTAAATCTATCATACTTATTTAAAGTAATATTTTCTATATTACTGAGAAATATATATCTTTATCAGCGTACAATTCTTGTCATTTTATTCGTCTACAATTAATTTCATAACGTTTTTAAAAAAGAAAGTATAAGAATGTTATATTAACGTAAAAGTACAATTGGCTCATTAGCTCAGTTGGTTAGAGCGTCATGTATTTTACTTTAACAATTATATATGTATCTATTTTAAAATATTTAAATTTAATTGAATTGTAAAGAAATACAATAGCACTTGGAAATAAATATTTAGAAAATCGCGAATAAATAAATCTTACTTTCTCGGTATATTTCTTTTGAATCTTTATAAGAAATAATTGTGAATATTTTCGCACTGCAAAATTCACATCTTTTTGTTTCATCGTCTGCTAAATATAAAATACATATTTTTGAACATGTGATTGAACGCGGGACGTATTTTATCTTAAATGGCATCTTTTTGGTCCAGGCTCCAAATTTTCAGTTTACTCTCACTAAATGTAAGATTATATTTTGATTAAACTATACATATATGTATATATTATATAAACAGTGTGCGTTAATCATAATAATTATTTTTAAAAGAATAAATATAACCTCCGGTTGAAGCAACATTCGTGGCATTACGCTAAGTCTGTCTGTTTAAAGAAAAAGGATTATAACAGGAGATCGATATCAACTCTATCGAAGAGATCTGAGCGTTATTATGGTAAAATTTACTAAAAAATTACTTAAATATAAAACATTGTGATAAAATTAAGAGAATTGTTTAGAGACAAGTTCGGGATTTGTTTTTAATCCTCCGTCTGTATACGTGAGTCTACGGCGATACATCTGCTCGTAACTGTAAAACTTGCGAGAAAATATTAAATAAACGATGTTTATCAAAATGACTATAAAATCGTCAACTACAATGTAGACAGACGTTTTGTGACGTTTTTCAGATATTTTTAAATACTTTAAAGTAGGGAAAAATAGCGTCAAACGTGACAGCCTAGACCCACGTATACACTCTAAGGGTGCAAAAAAAAAAAAAAACGTACAGACGGAAAGTTAATGTATTGTTTTGATATTAAATCTTAACAGGATTAAAGAAAAAGACGCGGGGTACTTTGAGCTTTCAAACGGCATTATCGACAAAAACGAAGAAGTTTGCGGAACGGAAGTCGACCCTTTGGGAATACGTGTTTGGTCCTAAGAGATCCTCAAAGAATCACCTGGCCGAACGTCAGGAACAAACGCGTTGCGAGGAGGATTCGCGTTGTCAGGCGATACCGGGAAATGTGCTGGTCTATACCGATTCGGCTAAATCAGCGAAAGACTCGAGAAGACTCGTAGAGCCACAGCCTAAACCACCACCATTGTATAAATTGCCTAGAGCTGTATTGCTGAACAGAGCGATGGCGGAAGGTTTCGTTGAGGTAAGAGAACGTTTATTAGTTATACTTTTGTCATTGCACTATTTTTTAAAGAAAAAATATATTTTTACAGACATTGCACAATGGTTATACTATATACATCATTAAGGATATATTAGCGTTAATTATTAGAAAGGCGACTGCGAGAGTAAGATGATAACATCTACAGCATCCAGAAAAATGTACGAAGAAATGAGGCCGGCTTCAAATACCAAAGGGATCGCCGAGTATCGAGAGAACGTTATTAGACCGTCGGTGGATGTTAAACCGCATGAGAAATCGACATCTCATCGGGTGTCGATACCAATAAACGCTCACGTTGCTACGGCGAAGATATTGCGCCAGGCGATGTCGCGGGAAGAGCCACGAATACACTCGAGAATCGAGCAACTCAAAATTTTAGTGAATGAGAAAATCACCAAGTCCCACAACGTATGACGCGAATAATAGATCCGTAATGTAAAATTTCTGATGCAGGCTAAATAAGCGATGTACATACAAATTGATATACAGGGTGGCTCATTTTGATGAAGTATCCTCTATTAAATTAGGTATAATAGAGACCGTTGATCATGTACTCGTTCACGATTTTTTTTCAACATGTTGCCATTTGATTTCTCACAAAACCGCAGTCGTTTAATTTATATTCTAGAATGTTCAAGGTATTATTTTTGAACCCGATTGGACCGATGCCATTAAAATGGCAATCATTAAAAATCGACTGGGTCAATACGACCCATCAGTGTGACTACCGCGGGATTCTAGAGAAGTGTGACTACGAAGGGTTAATCTAGATTATCATCTTCTCCCTCCCTTTAATAACCCAAATAATTTTTAATAATTTAAATATTTTTAAATGATATTCCAGTGGATAAATTAAAATGAGCCACTCTGTAAGTATAACGGATAATAATAATAAAAACGTTTTCGTGAGATCTTCTGCTCGACTCGACGAGTCGTATCATTTAAACTAATTAAATTAAAGACCTGTATGCAATAAATAAATTATTCTTTTGCACTTTCAAATTTGGTTAAAAAACGGCTCCGAAGGAACGTATAAATTTGTTGCGTACTCAAGCTCAAGTATCGAAAGAAAAGATAAAAAAAAAGTGATTATAGTGATTAGAAAGGCGAAAAGGTGGGATCTTTGTTATCAACTGTAACGTTGAACCACTCGCGTCACGAGATAAACATGCGTGCCGCTAGATGGCTCAAGCCGTGGCCGCGAGCGCGCCGTTCGCGTCAGTTCGTCCGTTCACATGAGCATTATTTTGTTTTGTCATTTTCTATATTTTATTGTTATCCGTAAAAGGAGATTAGCGAGATAGCGAGCCGCGTACGAGCGCGCGCGAGTATCTTTCTCTCGGGGTCACGAACAAACAGCGGAGGAAACGATATCTCGCTCCCCGTCATCGTTATCACCGGACGAAGTCTCCCTATCGGACATAACCGCTGTATCGATCCGCGACACCGCTCCATAGCCTGTCTGCCTGCCCCGGCCCGCCCGTCGCAACTCGCAACAGCGTTATATACATGGTAAGAGGTTATGTTGACTCCGTTAGCTCGCACCGCGCGATCCTCGACGACTCGCGCGTATTGCCCGGTGTGAAGCGCGGATCGCGGAGGAACGGATTGCACCTTGGAAATTTTATCGCGGAGACGATCTTTGTCAGTAAGAAAAATGGAGGGCTCGTCGAGACCCCCGGTAACACGTGTACGTGCCACCGGCCGTAATCTCGGGCTCCTGGAACGGAGGAGTCCCTTCTTGCCGTGAAAGAGATATGATGCTCCGTCGAATGTCGTTGTCGCTGCGCACCAACGTGGGCTTCCTCCGCAGTGCTAGTCACGGAGCAGACCACCGATGTCTTGCAGAGGAGCCGCCGTCGCCGCTTGCACGTCGAGACGAGGACACAGTCGCGAGGGCGAGGAAGCGGAATGCGCGCCCACCAACGGGCTTTTCGCGTCGTCGAGAACGGAGGAGGTCGGTAAGAAGGACCGAAGGACCAGGAAAAATGAGAGCTGGCACCAGACGACGTCTGGGAAGGACGTTGATGTCGTGGAGACGGTAGCCGACTTTGAGAAATGGCTCAAGATGAGTAGCACGGAACCGCCGGTGTCGTCGAGCATAGACCTGGACGCGACCAAAATGGTGGAGGGCGTGGACCGGTATCTGGGCGAAGAGGTGCTGTCGCACAGCTGCTTCCTGAGTAAAGATCCATATGGCTTGTCCATCGACATCGATCTCGCAGACGCCAAGAAGCTCAACCTGTCATCGAGCTACGATCCGATACTGCAGGATCTGACGCACAGCGAGAACCGGCTACTGGAACCACCGTGCGAGAAGGTCGTCGACGAGTTTATGCTACCGGAGTTTCAGCTGGATCATTTGGATCCATTGGCAGCGCTCACCCCGGACGACATGATGGTGGCCGGTGAGATTCTGCCGTCCGCGAGCAGCCAACCGACGTTAAGCGTGGAGAGTCAAGATGTCGAACAAAATATTTCCAAAACAGAACGTCCAACGCGGAACAATGAGATCCCGTGCGAGAAATCCACGCAGGTTACTCTCACGCAGCTACCGGCGAATTTAGTCGCGAACGAGATGGAAGATGCGAGGACAGAACAGGAAACTGTAGCACAATCTTCGGCAAGTTCCTCGGAGCTCTTCATCGAGGCTCTACCGCCGATGGAGGAGAGCTCGGCGAATACCATAGCGACGCCCATGGAAATAGCCACGCAAGACATGGTAATAGAACACGTGAAAAGGACGAAACTCGAACCTCGCATCATCAAGAAACGTCGACAGATGATGGAGCGCGTGGAGAAGAAGCTCGACAAGCATATCAACGGCAAGAGCTTTGCCGTTGATGCGGACTCGCAGGACGGCATGATGGCCGTGGTTGCTATATCCACTGACAAGATCTCCAACATGACGCAGATCGTTATCAATACTGGCACGGAGAAACAAATCTATCAAGGCAAAACCTCAGAATTGATCGAGGCGACAGGCAACTTCCCAAAATTGCCCAAGATAGATACTTCTGCCGTGGTTTGGAACGGCACGGTTGAGTATGGTACCGATAATCCGAGTAATCCGAGTAGTCAATATGAAATTGTTATATCCAATGCATTGGAGGAACTAGGCATCACCGACGACAGCCTGCAGCCCTTGTGCGCCACTGAACACGACAAGGTGTGGCTCTGCCCACGAGACGGCTGTAACAGACAGTTCGGCAGATTGTACACTCTGAAAGGTCATTTGTTGGCCCACTATGGAGTTAGACCGTTTAAGGTACATTAAAAAAGATATCGTGATATTCTATATTTTCTTCCTCTAATCTTTTTTAGCGCGGTGATATAATATCGCAGCAAATAAAGTCGTTTAAAATTAATTTTGTGAAGCCCTTGAACGTACTCGGCATACGATCGTGTTTTTTTTTGTTTTTTTCGTTTACGATTGTCTTAATTAGCTATATTTTTACAGTGCGACTTCGAGGGCTGCACTTGGGCCTTTTATTCCGAGTTCAAGCTGAAAAGACACAAGGAGACGCATCTGAAGCGCAAGGATTACGTGTGCGAGGTGGAAGGCTGCAATCGTCGTTTCACCACCGTCTACAATCTGTGGAGCCACGCGAAATTGCACAGTCGTCCCAATCGGATCGTTTGCCAGGTGCCAGACTGCGGCGAGAAGTTTCAAACGAAACGAGCATTGGAAGTACATATGAAATCACACGACCAACGCCATGCACCTTACGTGTGCCAGCACGAGGGTTGTGGCAAACGTTACTACAGTAGCAACGCATTGACGTCACATCAACGATCACATAGCTACAAGGAAGTGGACATCAAGTGCTCGTGGCCGGGCTGCGGCAAGATTTTCGACAAGCCATGTCGACTCAAAGCCCATATGCGTTCTCACACCGGCTACAAGCCCTATCCTTGTACTTTCCAGGACTGCAAGTGGGCCTTTTCATCGTCCAGTAAGCTCAAGCGCCACCAGAAGAAGCACACGAATGAGCGCAAATTTGTGTGCGACGTGCCGGACTGCGGCAAGGCGTTTATGCGCTCGGAACATCTGAAAGAACACCGGCTGACGCACACGGAAGGTCGCCTCTTCGAGTGCTGTATGTGTGATGCCCGATTCTCCGCCAAGAGCAGTTTGTACGTGCATATTAAGAAGCATCAGCAGACCAAACCGGATTTGAACGTGGTCAATGATATGTCCGAAAGCACTCCCAATGATCAGAAACGCACGAGAAGAAGAGAATCTCATTACTCGCGAGTGAAGCCGACTAAGCCGAAGCGATGGAACACAGAACTGATGAACGCCGCGGAGACTATCGCGAAGGAAAACGACGTCGAGAAGCAGGGCGCCAGCGCGTGTTCCCAGGGTGAGAATCAAATGGAGTGGCTATACCATTGTCCGATAGATACGTGCGGGCATTTGATCAGCAGCGAGACAAGTCTACGCGAGCACATGTTAAAAGCACACAGCATACATTGCGACGATTTGCTGACTAAACCGTCTTCAGACAATGCCGACGTAGATTACGTTTTATATACCGTACACAACTCACCTCCAAGTTCACCCACTGCCGTCGAAGAACAGATGGTCATGGTGACTCCGTGCGATGCCGTCATCCTTAACACCTCCTCGTCAAGAACGGATTGTTGTTTGCCGGAACCAGAGCCGCCACCTTTCAACACCTTGCTGAAAAGCTCGGAAACGTTCCGAAATGATGCGCGAACTGACAAGCGGGTCGAGAAGGAAACTGTATCGGTGAAGGAGCAGGGCTCGGCAAGGACAGATCTAACATATTCCGACTGGTCTAAACTGAAGAAGAACAGTGCATTGATGACGTCGGTGGTAACGGAAACGTCAGACGTTGTACTGGGCGCGAGTGGTGATTTGAGCGAGGGTCTGTTGTTCACAGAAGAATTGCCGTCGATGTACTATCAGGACGATGTGGCAGGTACGGAATACCAGGTGCTGCTATTAGACTCAAGTCCGCTCGAGAGTGCTAGTAATTTGCGCGGTCTCGAGTGATTTTCGTGATGGACGCAAGTGATGATTTCCATTATCGTAGTCTCGAGTGATTTTCGTGATAGAGAGTGCTCTCGACCAAGTGATCGTATAATTATTTTGGAGACATGGATTATTTTCAATGTAGCTTAAGAGTGGCATAATAGTTTTGAATAATAATGATTGTTATTATATTAAACATAGCTTTTGTGGTAACTTTAACACGATCTGTGATCCAGGAGCTGGCCTCAGCCTAATATTCATTTGTACTACGCCCATAATCGCTTTAAATCGTTATTTTATTAATAAATCGTTGATATTTTTCCATAAAAATCATCATCTGTGTACTTCATTGCTGTCGTTATCCGACTATGACGCGCGCTTTAAACTAAAGCCATACGTGTGTTTACAAGTAATTTATTATTTTGCTTTTAAATGTATTAGTTTGTTTTTTCAATTTATATTTTTATAATACACACATATACATTCATAAAATTCTCTCACACTTATTGGTCGATGTAATTCAACGACATTTATATCACGTTACGGGAAGTATATGAGACTTAATACTTTTTCTAAAATAGTATCGAATTATCGAACAACACGTACTTACACCAAGTTGTAATTAAAAAAATATACAAAAATGGAACGTACAAAAGGATAGATATGCATACAATTCTTGATTATTTTACGCTACGGATTTATCTACATATGCGAAAATCTATCTTTTATCGATAACGGTTGAAAAAGATATTTGTTTACTGCGATCAATTGGCTGCACATACAATAATCATACAGCATGTAGACGCTTGAATAAGATAGAAGTTAGGTTAAATAGGAACTCTCGAATCTCTTTGCATGTTTTCTTCGAAACACACGAACGAACATTGAGCTCTTAATAAATCATTACGGTTATATTAATGTCATTCCAAATTGTATGTGCATCCTTATGTAAGCATCTTACAAAACATACTTTTCATTTGGTATCGTCTTAATAAATTATTAATTTAATAATTCTTCGTATCGAAATTTTCATCTAATTTACGCCAATGACGGCCATTAAATTAGTAATTATTATACATTATTAAATTCCGAATTTAGATGTAAATATAAAAAAAACCTCAGTTTTGTAAGTAATGTTAATAAGAATAGTTAACACCAAAGAATATTTGTATATCTTAAATATACACAACGTTCACGTAATCTGGAATGAATTCAATAGTGCAAAGCAAATGTGTAATTTTTATCTATCAAAATATAAAATGCATTCAATACTTTTCAACATTACAAAAATACGAGATAGTATAAATATCATACAACACATCATATAACACTAAAATATGAAGTGAGAATACAGATTCGTACAATTCAAATATAATGAAATGTTTGCGGAATGTTTACCGTTTCTGTTTTCCTTAGCAAAATTTGCACTTATTTTAAAATAAAGCAACACTATTTTACATGAATTTTTACTATTTGCCACCGTGGCAAACACGGGCATGCGTTCAAAACAATCGCGGCTCTAATAACCGAAGCGTTCACAAATATTGTCAGGCTTCTACGATATTGTCATATAATTTCTAAGAAATATAAGCACGTTTTCGCAGAATCTATACAAATTGGGAACGACCATACAATCGGTATATTAGCTATAATCATTGTTTTTCTAGTTTGTTAGAAATATTGCCGAAGACGAAGCTCAGAGTCATGAAAGCAGATCACCTACTTGGTTGTATCGCTCATCAGACACTGCTAACATCCTATTAATACTTTATCGTTTCTACAAACGAGCTAGATGACCACAGGAAGCTCGCTCGTTAGAGAAGGATTCTACTCGCAGGCGCAGCCACGTCAAGAAAGCACACTTCATCTTGCCCTGTTGAATATTAAATTATCCCAATGCCTCGGGGTCTTACAATCCCAAGAGGATATTAGGCGGACAAAAATAAATGTCGTTCTACGTAAACTTTTATCGATTAAACTACTTCTATTTGTTTTTCTGGAAGCGGTTTATCGTCCGTCATGTTTAGCTGCGCAGGTTTGCTGACGTTCTCAGCAGTCTTGCGATAGATGCGGTCTCTGATGTTTGCCAGCATGCAAACGACGCAATGCAGCACCGTTACAAACGTAAAACCACCGATACAAACGAGCAACGTCCGCACCGGTTTCTTCCAATCGAGGACTTTGTAGATATAGTGGTTGTCGTGCTTGTCAAGGCCGCCGGCGACATAATAGATCACCGAGAAGATTATGTAGAACACGACGATCGATAGGCACCACCAAAAGTTCCGCAGGCGGAACGGTATGTTGGTGACAAATAAATCAATCAGCATCAGCACGCTGTTGCACACATGCATCATGATATTGAGCGGGTCCACTTTATGGATCTCCGGATTGTATACGGCGAGCCAGTAACTAATCGTCACGCCAATGGCCATATTGGTCGTTACGACGTACAGAAACCAGTATAGCCGGTCGGTGGACTCCAATTTGAGATCGCATGGATTGAAGCCGGGTATCTTCTGCAATCGCCATCGTTTCGACACGAGAATACCGCCGATCAACGCTTGTGTAATACCCAAAGTCATGTCCCAGTTGGTCAGATAGATTGGCCATTTCTCGTACTGAGACAGCGGTTCGTAGCTGCCGATTTCAAATATCGAACACACGACGAAGGCGGTCCAAGCGAGGAAGATTGTCCAGCGGTAGTAGAGATACCAAATGGCCACGTACGACTGGCACTTTGGTTCGGACAGCACACGCGCCTGCGGTGGCTCCTGTCTAGCCGCCTGTCTCCACCTTCGCCCGATCTCCAAGCACCAGAGCTTGTTCACCATTGCGCGGCGACCTGGAAGAATGACGGACCAATGATATTTCTTTTATATTTATTGTAAACAAACGTGGACAATCGGCATATTTTAAATATGCGAGTTGAATTTGAAGCACAAAGATCAAATTTAATATTAAAAGACTAGAGGGGCGTACTTGGGAAAGTGGGTAACGAGATGAAGGGATACGCGTCGCGAAGAAAATCCTAGAGCGGAATCGAGAGGATAACGGAGAACCGCGCGCCGACGACGACTCGTGACAAATAACGAGGAGGCAGCCGATTCAACCTGAAACTGGTACATAGCGGGAACCAGCGGTCACGCTATTCCGAACGTGAGCGTGATCCGGCGATTAACGCCTTAATAAATGTAATTATTGTCCGAAAACGACCACGCGACGTCGCTTCGCCGCGCTCGGATGAGCAAGCGCACGTCACGTACGACAACCTCTTCCGGCTTGCTATGATCGAACGGTACAGTAAAAAAAGAAAAACGAAACTATTTTATTCAGTATGCAAAATTTTTTCCTATGCACAAGCATAATCAATTATAACCCTTCGTCTGTATATGTGGGTCTACGACGTTCGAGCCAAAAATGATATCTGCTTGTAACTGTGAAACTTGCAAGCCTGCCAGAAAATATTAAATAAACGATGTTTATAAAAAATTTTGTGATTTTTTTCAGATTTTTTAAAAATATTTTAAGGTAGGGAAAAATAGCAGCAAACGTGACAGATCCACGTATTCATTCCGAGGATGCAAAAAAAAATTATACAGAGGGATAATTCAATTTGGATTCAATACGGCTATTCAATACTTTGGAATTTTATCAACATTTAAGAATTATATAATTTTTTAATACTGAGCCAATATGATACAAGGATTATGTATAATATTGATTAATTTGATATGCTAGAAGATTTTATTTTTTCCGTTGAAGTTTATAAGATTTTTTTCATAATTTCGAAGGTTTTGAAGGATAAAATTCATCGTTATTTTACAATGGATATTTCGCAATAATATGTCGCTTTATTGACAACAAAACCTCGTCCGAAAAGATAAGTCGCTCACGAAACGATAGCGAGGCGGCTTCGAAGGTTTTTCAGCGGGCATTTTTCGCGCGACTTACATAGCGAGCATTGTAGGAAGAGCAACAGCAGTCGTTTAGAGGAAGGCAATCCTGTGAACGAGAGTACCATCCTCGAGAGAGACTGTCTCGCGATGACGCGCGAGTACGCGTGATCGAAGAGCACCTAACCTAACCTAACTTTTACCCGAACAGCTGCTTGATTTACGATGACAGCCGACCGAGATAAAACGCGCGAGCGCGAAAGAGGGGCGGCATTTTTTAATACTTTATCTGAAATTCGAGGAACGAATACAGACACGGTCACACGGAGAATAATGCTGAAACACCTGTACTTGTGCGAATTTACACCTCTTTTCAGAACACTTATAGATAAATAAGAGTTAAGCGATAGAATTGAATGTGTCTTTCGGCGCCTTTAAAAAATTATCAAAATTATTATGAGAGAATGGTTATTGTATTAAAGAAGCGATGCGAATCGAATGCGGCTCGAACGTCGCGCTAAACTTAAGTCGCATGCGATCGCGTGGAAGCTCTCTTAAATATCGATCGATAATATATTCGTACTGCGCGAACCGTTGATAATTTCAACTTGAAATTTGAATTCGTGACTTACTTCAGGCCGACGAAAACGAGAGAAGTTTGAATCCGCTTCTCCGTCAATTATAATCGGCGACTATTAAGGTACGGAATAGGCGAGAGAGGTTTCAACGAAATGGTCCGGCGGCGATCACGTTACTGGCGACGAGGAAAATAATCGAGGCGCAGGCAGGTAAGCGTCGCAAGGTGTGTGATTCACTACGTGAGTATCCAAAGTCTGCTACATTTGCGGCTCGAGGTGTTTGCTAATGGGCGACGATCTCTCATGCACCGTCACGTAGGGTTCGGGTGTTCGGAACGTGTCGGAGGAGGAGGAGGAGTGCCTCTCTCCCCGAACGCCGTCGTGTCTCGCTGTGGTCTCGCGCGGCGCAGATGGGAGGCCACTTTGAACTAATTAACCTCGTTGGTCCGGCCGAGATGCTGAGGTTCACACGGCGTGACAAGAGAGATCGGCCGGCGCTCATACATAACGCGCGCCGGCGAACGGAAGGTCGCGCGGTCAATCAGTCAATACTAATTCACCGTTCATTTATTACAATCTTGGTCTATTATAGCCTGTTATACATTGGCACGAGCAAGTGGTCGGGTTTTTAAGCGAATCGTTATATCCGCCGGAGTATCTACCTTCGCGGAAGGTAGAAGAAAGAGAGTAAAAATAATGTATGGGCGCGACTCGAAGAAGATCGCCGCAGACAAAATCCGTTCCATGAAATTGGATTTCTCATCTCAAAAATTCCTAACCGGAACTGCGCTTCACGCTTCTTGAGCGCATCTTCTTCTTTTTTTAACGTTTATAATTATTTTATCGTGAATTTAGGATTATAAAGACATAAAAGTAGGAAAAGAAAAGACAAACGCAAACACTAGACAACGTGCAAAGTATATACACGGGACTCTTATATTTTCGCGCTTTACCAACGACGAAACGTGTCACAATTTTTTATTGATTATGAAGAAGATCTTTTAAGGTGCCAATTCATGGGACGCTGAAAAACAGCGTTGAGCGTCGTCACGTGACATCACTATGATGCCAGCGTCAAGAAAGAGAAGTTGGATTTTTCCAACTTCAAGCGTCAAAGCCAAAGCAGCGCGAAGATGCCGAAATTTTGACGCTGTTTCCCTTTTCATGAATTTCAATTGACGCCGGCGTCAATTGTGGTCATGCGACCTTCTTGCCGCTGAAAATGAGCGTCGAGCGTCAGCATGAAAAGGCACCTTTATAAAATTAGAATTTGTAACTACACTTTTGACCTCTGAATTGATTAACTTTTATATTTAAAATTGACCATTTTAGTCATTGTTTCTCATCCATCGTTTCGATACGTTATTTGATCCTTCTAGATTATTTAAATTGTTTATTTATGAGACTAATTTTATATTTCTGTTTAATTTTTGACCGGTTGAACATGTTCTGACGAAGAGTAAGTCGAAACTTAAACGATTCTTCTCACTATTTAATAAATTATTATATATTATTTATATTAAATCAATATTTATTTCTTGTTTGCTCGGGAGATCGGCCGTATGATTTGTATATTTAGGAAAAAAAACTTTGGACATCGGATATTTATCTACTTTTTACTTTTAGACATTGCAGAATGCTAAAAAGTTGTTATGTTAATTTTGTATTGTATTCTAAGGCTTAAGGCATTACGAAATAACAAATGTATAATGAGATATCGTTTCGCTAAAACTCTTATCATGAATTTACTTATCATGGTTTATCTAATGTTTATTGAGAGTTTTTTTTACAATGTTTCACGTGATCGTAGTAGGAGATAAGAGACTTTCTAATCTGCAAATTGCAACGCAAGTAACACTGGATTATTAAATAATACATATATAAGATCTTTATATAATTAGATAATTCGCAACATCATGATATAATAATTATAATTTATTAGCGTTTAAGAGAAATTTAAAAAAATGTAGTAAAAGATTAACGAACAATTATAATTATAGTAATTATTAAGTCTTTGATTTTAAAGATCGATAATTCGTTGATGTTCTCTAATTTTTTTTTTTTTGAAATTTTAAAGACTAATAATAGAAAAGAAAAAGAATTAAGAGCAAACTGTGTTAGTGAAAAGAAACTTTTGATTAGCCTATAGATTTCGCAATGAATAAGTTTAATTTAACTTTACATTCTTTTAGTTTTCAATTAATGCATGAAATACCTCGTATTATTCTCACAGTACAACTCAATTAATCCGCCTTGTTAGCATTCATTTCCTTCCTAAAAGTATCGATCGTATTTCCGCGTTTCGCGCGATTGGGACTGTCAGATAAAATTCACATTTTCGATAACACAAAATATTACACAGAATTCACACGAATGTTCTTCTACTCGCGGAGTATGATTTGAGAAATTTCGGTGACTTCTTGTTCGGTCAGCCGACGTGTCAACGCATGTACGACCGATGTCGACGATCGACTAAACTTGGCGAAGTTTCCGCGCACAAGCGGAACATACGTGAGAACAGCACGTCAGAGATTGATATCGGGATAAACGATAATCGTCGCGTTTTGCGGGAAGCGATACAGCGTAATAAATGTGCGATTACGTATGTCAAGGTAAGCGTCAATTGAAAGAGAAAGACAAATTAGAAAAGAGAAAGGGAATGAAAGATATCTTTTATCAAGGTCGTGTGAAATATATAGCTAAATAAAACAGTGTTTGTGCCTTCTCAATCAGGAGATCCATCTGACCCATCTGTGCAAACTTTTGGTTTTCACCTCTGTCTACAGAGATAAGCATCTATATTGTAGACAATTATGCATGGTATAGATGAGAGATCCGGGCATTTTATTACATTATATATAAATGTTGCGTATATATGTGAAGTTTAGGCCTAAAAGCCGATCGTTTTTCGGTGTTAATATAAATATTACATGACAGAAAAAAAGAGAGCAAAAATGGATTGCATATGTCTTTGTGTGTGTGTGTGTGTGTGTATATGGTGATATATTAGCACGATCAGATAAGCTTGATGAGATCGTTTGAATTCAGACTGAATTTATCTGACAATGAGGTAAACTTGCCAATAGAAGTGTTATTAATTTTAAAAATTACGCGTTACACATTTTTCCTATAACATAATATCAATGCATGCACGACTCTTTCTGTTAATTTTGGACAGATTTTTATCTATCTATCTTTTTGTCTATCAATCGATAGCGATGGACTAAAGACTGACGACGTGCTGTATTATATGTATATACAAAACATACATACACGCACGCGCGCGCGCATACATACACACTACACACGGAACTTTTGAACCCTCTTTCGCAATTTAATATTTAATCAGACACAATGGACGCCGTTGGCAAAATCGTCATCGATTTTCTTCATGACCAAGCAGTTGCAACGTGTCAAATACATTTATTGTTCATGACATCCCCGTATCCCGTACATCTATCAGATCGATACATCGAATTAATAATTAAGAATATAACAACAAAGATTGTTATTCCTATAGGTCACTTTGTCATCATAAGTCTCAAATCACCTGTGATGGTACATCGTTGATATTGTAAGATTACTTTGAAAAATTCCGTTGAATTCAAAAATCCAAGAATTTTGATGATATCGCGATGAAATTTTAACGATCTCACGGAACTCGAGAAATATATATAAATTCAAAACTTTTACTGGGGACTTGTGAGTTAATGTTTTACAATTTGGAGAATTCAGGGAAAAAATGGAGAAACACGCACCGCATAGCAGCTTCGGCGATTTCTTCGAGACAATTCGTTCGATGTGGTCGTTCTTTTCCAACATGTCGCGAATCTCGATCTCTTCGCACTGGGGAGGCATTTCTCTTTTATTTTTCAGAACGATTGGCTTCCTGTTCGACGCACGTTTCGCCTCTGACTACCCGGCACCGGTACCGCGTGCTCGCAATCAATCCCGGGGTGAACACCGGCGTGAAGTTTCCCTCCCTGAACCTTTGCGCCTTGCGGACCTGTTCCCCACCGAGAAATCCCCACCTTGATCAATAAGTATACACGTGACAGAACGATATTTGAAACTATCCCGACCGCATACCGCATATTAGACTTCTGCTATTATATTTTTTGACATATTGAACATATTGAAATAAATACAAAAGTGGTTTTAATATGTCGTTTAATAAAATAAATCAATTTATCAACATCTTTACACTTTCTTACACACTTTTACACACTAACATTTCACACAAATGTTTATACAGTGTTTATTCATGCATTTTTTCAACCAAGTCATATCTTGTTTGAACAAATTAAGAAATGCTTTCTCATTCACACAAAAAATAACGCATGCATCTGCATCGTGTTTACGTTGCGTCACTGTTAATTGTCTCCGATCTTCGAACTGTACCCCTAATTTTCTTTCAATTATGCTAACAGCATAAATCGACTAACTTTATAACTTAAAACGTCACGAAATTAACTTGTAATAAAATCAATCTGTTGGCACGTTTGTAATGAAATGGTACGTAATATATGTCTGTTTTACTTCACTTGGGTATAATTTATACGGGAATATATTACATATTACATATTACATATTATTATATGTTACATGGCATACATATTATGTGTTCCTTTTTTAATTCTATATTTTAAGTTACAAGAACATTTCAAACCAAATGTATTAAAAAATTTATATACTTAAATATATAAATAATTTTGATCACATTTAGAGGTTTTTGAAACCATCGTGCACTACATTTGATGAGATATTAAAAAAAAAAAAAAGATTCAAGAAAATATTTATTTACATAGTATCAATGACTTATTTTTACTTAATATAATCACATATTTATTTAGAATTAGATATCTTTACTTAAATTAAGTAAAAATATTTAATTCGAAATAAATATGTGATTATATTAAGTAAATAAGTCATACTAGTAGTAAATAAGTGGTACTAGGTAAATAAATATTTTCTTGGATCTAAATATTTTCGTTTTCAGTGTATATATATTTGTCTCTGCGAGAATGCGATATTAATTATATACAATACCTATATTTTTATAAATATTTATATTATTACTTTCTATACTCTATACAGTACTTATATAATCGCGTAAGTGAATTTCTTCGATAAAATCATGTCGTGTTGAAAAAGAAAATGCTTTTTCGTACACTTGCTGTAGATAAACATAATGTAAATGCAAACTTGCAAATTTGTATTATGTTTATGTCGCGTCACTGTTGTTCTCGGTTTCCTAAACTGTATGTATAATTGTTTCTTGTTATGTATAATTGTTACACGTAATTATGTATGTAAAATTGTCTTCTAATTATATTCGTAAGTCAAACCAATTTAAAATGTAAAGCATTGCAAAACCTGAATAATCTTTGATAAATTAATTGCATTAACTGCAGAAGCGCACATGTAAAAGTTTAATATATTTGAACAAAATATGAAAATGTTAATTAAAGTATTTTGATTATCAAAAATCTGATCGCGGAAATAATAAAATTATGATTTTAAAATTACAAATAATTTTTACCGATTTAAATAATTTGTATCAAATACCTAAATTTGTATCAAACTGAATAAGTAACTTTTTACTTTGTGCCAGTGAATAATTAACACAATTAACAGTAAAGACTTTCATTCGACCTAACTGACTATCATTATAATTGTCATGACAATATACGACCATTTGTTTTGGTCAATTAATCGTCAAGATGTTTCGGCCATGGGTTTTGATCTTTTTAAATCGATGTAATTTTGATACTTATACATGCATATATAATAAGATACATGGGCTTATAGAGAATCTAGAAATAAGATTTACTTAATTTATTTTATTTCTTTAACTGTATTTATGAGAATATTGAAGTACATTTTAAGTGAGAATAAAATCTTTATTTTAATCAATAACAAAAATAAAATGTCTTTTAAAATGCAATAATTAAAAAAAAAAATTGTTTTAAATTGTTATTATTATATGCTTATATGTCCTAGCTGGTTACGCCAGGGCTTCGCCCGGGCGCG